ACATTTTTTTGTTGATTTGCTTTGTTTTTTTTTTTTAATGTCCAGAGGACCAGATTTAACTTTTTTAGAGTCACAAGTTGTGACTGTTATTTGGTTCTATTGTCATTAATCAGTTCATGACTATTGTTACCAATCAGTTCATTTGATTAATAATCAGTTCACTTGTTATTATTAATCTGTTCATACTGTTCAGCCGTGAATTGGTTGGTTCATGGCCCCTTTTTTCATCATCTTCTCTTCCCTGTTGAAACTTTCTGGGGCGTTCATGCATTCAGAACGCATAATTACACAACATGCGTCTGTGCATGGTACACATAATTACGCAAAGTGTAATTACGTACATGGGGAGCTGAGTGACAAGACGTTTTTTGGGCAAGCTGCCGCTTCGTATGGTGTTTGAATGGACCCAGTGAGGCGAGGACCACATCCGCTTCGCCCTTAACCCATCAGTGCCAGCCTTAAAGGGCGAAGCCTATACGAAATAGAACGTTGGTTGCATACTGTAACCAGATTCTATGAGTATAGGCGTAGCCCTTTAAGCGTCGGGCCTCACTGGCTCCTAAGTGGCTGAAGAAAAAGCTATTTGGAGCCGATTACCCGCTCTTAATGTAATTTATACGGACCGGGTGGGGCCCACACAGCAGGTGGGCGTGGACTAAACTTTTCAGTGTAATGCTTTGCATGTCGGGATAAAACCCACCAGCGACAGCTCTTAAAGGGCTACGCCTATACTCATAGAATCTGGGGTTACAGTACGTAACCAACGTTTTCTAGGTGAGACACGATCATCTGAGATATTGTAGGGTAAAGATTGAACTTCTGTCTGAGTGTGCACATGTTTTCACACTGCACAAAACATGGATGGATTGGTTTAAAGCTCTGCCTCTGGAAACAGATGACTTCTTTCTTTTTTAATCGGGGACTCTGTGGGGCGTGTTCCTGTTAACACCTCTTTTATTTGTCAGACACGATGTGAGAACATGGAGCCTGCAACGTTCAGAAAGTTTCCTCTCCGACTCTCCGGGAATGATGTCATCATCCGTGGGGACCAGTAAATGCAGCAGTCCCGCATGCATGGAGGCGCGGGCGCGGCGAGCTCCACACTGTGTTTACTCGGATCCCCGCCGGCCGGGCCTGCAGTACGGCAACTCGTTCGATTCCCTGGGAGACTCTCCGCACAGCGACAGGTGGGCTGCAGGCCGACATTTCCTCCAAAAGATACACAACAATTATAATCAATCAACATACATTTATTTGTTTATTTATTTATTTATTTATTTGTTTGTTTGTTTAAAGAGCCACAAGGTGCTCAAAGTGCAAGAAGAACCAGACAAACATACAGAGAAACGAGTTCAAATCCTGCCTGAATAAAGAGCTATTAAGATCAGATTTAAAAAGGCCCAGACCAGTTATGGAGTGTGGGTCCTGAGGAAGTTGGTTCCAGTCTGGGTGCAGTGACCCAAAAGGCCCGGTCATACCAACATCTGTATTTGGACCGAGAGACAAACAGCAAAGCTGTATTAATTGACCGTAAGCTCCTCTCATACCCTCTTAAACTACTAGATCAGCTGAAAACGGTGGGGCAGGACCACGAAGAGCTTTAAGTTAAAATGTATCGCCCAGTTCATGTTTTCCTCAAGCAAATTTATTTCTTAAACACATCATGTGAAAGTTTATCATTCTGTCACAAATTAGATTTAATAGTTAAAGATTACTTAGTGTTGAAACTCTGGCACAACCTTCAGGACCAGTAAAGTTCTTATCATAAGATAAAGTGGAAAGAAGTTGTCTGACTTGTGATAAGTGTTTAACGTGAGTGTAGTCCAGATGTCCTCCATGGCACCTGGTGGTGGATAAAAGGTCTCCGTCCACTCTCCAGGATCTCTGCTCAGCCTCAGACACAAGAACAAACCTCCCTCCGTTCTTCTCCAGTGTAACTCCATCCAGCTTGAATCTCTTGAACCAACAACATTAAAGTTTACTTCATTTCCTGTTCAGTTCCAGTCCAGAAAAACACTCATCTCAAAAACTACAAACATTCACTCTTCAGATCCCTCAGAGGGACATCAATTGAACATCCATCCATTATCTTTACACACTTCTTCCTTTCTGGGTCACGGGGGGTCACTGGTGCCCATATCCAGCAGTCACTGATGGGGGACACCCTGGACAGGTCCAAGTCCATCACAGGGACACATGGAGACAAACGAGACAAACATCCATTCACTCTCTCACCTGGAGACAATTTAGAGTTACCAGTCAGACTAACATGCATGTTTTTGGTCTGTGGGAGGAAACTGAAGTAGCCGGAGAAAACCCACACATGCACGGAGAGAATATGCAAACTCCACCCAGAAAGACTCCGGGCCAGGATTTAATCCTGTTACCTTCTCACTGAGAGGCAACAGCTCCTCCACCTGTGCCACCGTGCCACCCCGTGACTACATCACCTCAGTATTATTGAACCAAATGATCCGAATCTGTTGTGACGTTAACAGAGTGACTAAACACCGGTGACTCGAGAGGAAGTCTAAAGAGTTGTTGAAGTAAAACCCATCCAGCAGGTCTGAATGAGATCCCAGCTGCAGAGCTGAAATTGAACTAACGTCCCCTCAGAGTCCCTCCAGGTGATAAGGGTCTCCTCCATCATCCTGACAGCTTCTCCATCAACATGTGGGAACATCAAGAGCACATGTTCCAGTTCTGGTCTCCTGCTTTTAAAGGTTCATACAAACTCCGACAATAAGCTGGCAAAGTTTCTCTCGAGCTCGACAGAGTTCATTTTAAATGACTTCTGTTGCAGCATCACCCACTTGTGTCTAAAAGACGTAACGTATGTTTGGATGCATATTTAAGGCTCATCAATGAGTTCTGAAAGTCTGAGAGAAAATTAGGCTTCGTCAAAAAGTCAAAAGTTTACTTTTTGTTTACATGGGACTTTAAAGATTTCCCTCGGGCAGAGGAGTTCAGGTGGAGGAGTTCAGGTATCTGAGCGTCTTGTTCCTGAGTGATGGTAGGATGGAGCAGGGCCTCATCCTCAGTAATGAGGGCGTTGCTTCAGTCGATCGTGGTGAAGGCAAAGCACTGTACGTATTTACTGCTCTCCTGTGGTCATGAGGTCTGGATCAGGACCAAAAGAACCAGATCCTGGATCCAAGCAGCTGAAATGAGCTTCCTTCATGGGGTGGGGGTTAAGCCTTAGAGATACATGTATATGGAGCTCCGTCGTCCGGGGGGAGCTCAGAGTAGAGCTGCTGCTCCTCTGCATCTAAAGGAATCAGCTGAGGAGCTTCACCTGATCAGGACACCTCCCTTTGGAGGTTGTCCAGACATGTCTCAGGGTCCCCCAGGAGGAGATGGAGAGGGTCTCTGGGGAGAGGGACGTCTGGTTTTCGCTCCTGGACCTGTTGCCTCCACAACTGGACCACAGCTGGGTGGTTTAACATGGAGACATTAAAATGTGACATTTAGTAAATTCACTAAAATAGAATAATCTGTGAGCACAATGATTCTATTACCGTTAGTCGCTCAAAAACACAAGATCACAACAAAGATCTGTAAACAAAACAAATACAATAACGATCTGTTGTTTGTATTTTCTAATTGATCTTCATACTTGTTCTCCCCCCGTGTTTTCAGGTACGTGTCGGCCCTGACAACACCAGCCCGCCTCTCGCCGGTGGACTTCCACTACTCATTGCCCCCCCAGGTGCCTATTTTCCAGATCACCTCCCCCAACACCAGCCACGCCATGTCGCTCCCCCCTGCTGTCCACAACCCCTATCCTCTCGAGGGCGACCTGTCTCTGCTGCGCCGGTACCACGTGCCCCGACCCGACGCCCAGTGTCAGGAGCCGTACCGGCAGCAGCGCCGCACCTATCTGAACGACAGCAGGGGCAGCCTGCCTTCCAGCCCCCGCCGGCTGGCCGAGGAAGATGAGTACGAGACCACCCAGGAGTATCTCTCCTCTCGGGAGCAACCAAAGACAAACGGGTCCAGTGGAACCGGCAGCCGGCGCTGGAGGAGGTCCAGGCTGAACGGCCACGTGGCCCCGCGCGGGTACGAGGCGTCTCGGGACTTGGGCTCTCGAAGCTGCCTAACGGATAGCGAATCAGAGGACGGCGAGAGCACCCCCTTCCTCAGTATGCAGAACATGAACACGGAGCCGGCCACCATCTGCAGGCCGGCGGACTGTCGGACTTCTCACTCGACAGGGTGGCACAGCGGGCACACGAGACTGACGCACTCACGCTCCACACCGGACCCCGCACCCCATTAGCGCGGTTACCCACCCAGAACACCCACATAGTACAGACCTGCATCTATAATAAATATTTTTATTTTATATAACTGACAGATATTTTAAACAAATTAAATATTTATTTTCATTTTAGCAAAAGTTGTCTACTAGTTAACAACAAAGAATTTTTTATAGGAAAACTATTTATATGTACATTTTGATTTACAGCGTAAAAAAAAAAAAAAGATGGTCCAGTTTTTTCACAACGTTGAAGCAAACAAAACAAAAAGAAAAAAATAGAGTAATATTGTTGTGCCTTTTGCTGTCAGACGATGCCGGAGGGCCAGTGGACGTTTTTGTAGCCTTTCTTATACAGACGCCTCATCTTTTATACACAGTTGTGTTTTTTTTTTTTGTTTGTTTTTTTTTTTTGTCCTTTCTGATTTTCTTCTTTCAATTGTCTTTCCAAAAAGGCCTTCTTTAAGAAGTGTGTCCTTCGTGGAGCGTAACCCTTCCATGTCATGCAATATAAACCACTCCAACACCACGTGCGTGTTTACACGAATATGATTTGTCCTCAGGCTGACTAGTTTGTTTTTTTTGGTGTGTCGGCACCTGCCTCTGCATGCACCTGCAGAACTTCACGTTCGCTTCAGACGTGGCTCTGCCGAGCGGGTCAGAACCTTGACACCCCCCACCTACACACACACATAGACACACAGCCCACCTGAACAGGTAAGGCTCGTCGCCACGTTTTTTTAAAAATCACTCTACAAATTATTTTATTCTCAGTTTTGTCTTTTTATTTATTTATTTATTGGGGGGGGGGGGGGGGGATTTGACACCAAACAATTATTATAATTTTCAGATTTTTGCTCAAATCCTCACGCTCCATCGTCCCTCTGGGTCCACTTATGTTTCGTGTTAAAGGCCACACAGCGTCCTCTCCCCTCTTCCTCTTTCCTTAAAGCACGGGTGTCCAAAGTGCGGCCCGCGGACCATTTGCGGCCCTTGCATTGATTTTGTGTGGCCCACAGCTGCAGTTTAAGAATGGTGTCGTTTTGGCCAGCAGGCTTAAGAGGTCGATGCAGACTTTCTGCAAATTAGTTGGTAATCCTGTTTTATATAATCTTTAGGATTAACAGTAAAACTGATGAAAAACAATCTTCTCAAAATGAGCAGTATTAAACAAAATACAAACTTTTGGCTATAATCTTTTTATTTTCACTTCATGGTACGAAGCATCAAAAACCTTTGCTGATTTCTACCAGAGAGGAGAAGTTTAGATAATAATTCATAAAACTTGGCTAAATATTGCAGTTGATAAAAACAAGAGGGAAACTGGACATTTTTAAATGAGTATAACGTGTTATCATCTACATACGAGTTGATCAACTTTATCAAACTTATGAATCTGTTGTAGCGACTGACAGCTGGATGATTTTTCAGACCTTCAATCAGCCAACCGTGGTCCAAAAGGCTGATCGACCCCCTTTTATAAGGTCACTTACTCAAATTACGCCTTTGTTGGCGAGAACAGACTAAAATGAACTTTCCAAACACAAGAAAACAACAAACATCGACCCAACAAATCAAATAAATATTTTTTAATAAAAAATATAAGTGGCTTTTAATGTTTTGGATCTACAACAATTTAAAGCTTTCTCCACCAAAATCTCCAAAATATTGTTCACATCATGGAGAGTGAAATTCACATTTTTGTGGCCCGCCACGAGCCCTGTCGTCTTGATAGTTTTGGCCCACATATGAAAACGTTTGGACACCCCTGCCTTAAAGAGATAGTTTGCATTTCTAGAAGGGGTTATGGTTGTGTGGAGACGTGAGCGGTTATCTTACCTGCTGTAGATAGCTGTCGGAGCCTCATTTTGAAGAAAGAGTTGTGACGAGCTAACTCAACCAAAGAGGACTGCTGCCGTCCTCGAAATGCTCCGATCTCTAAAATGCAACATCAAAGTTGTTGTAGACACCGTTGGTTTGCGTTATATGATGGGAAGTGCTATAGCTAACTACTGCTACTTCAAGACAATTTTGTAATCCTCAGTGAATGTAGCTGATTTAAAGGCGTTTAAATAGTGTTAGCATGAGCTGCTGTAAAATCTTTGAGACTGGAGCGAGTTCAGGATGACGACAGTCCACCTCAGACTAGCCATCAGCTCATCGATGCAGCCAGGAGGAAACCATCATGAAGATGTTTATCGTCCACAGCCTCTCCACAGAACATCTCTTCATAACATCAGAAGTGACCTTTTAAGTGATGTCTACCTACATTTCTCAGAAGGTGAACCCAGAGTCCACATGACCCCCTCAAAGAACCAGACAGGCAGATGGAGAAGTTTCTGAAACGTGGAGGCTCAGACAAACAAAAATATGCAAATGTTCTACGTTTCTCTATGACGACATCGTTTTCTGAGGCGACTGCTGCGTGTGAACGAGTATTCACCCGTTTCTTCGTGCACCTGTCCATGGAGCGACTGCGCCCACCACCCTGACAACCTCAGACCTCCAGCCGTCTCTCTGATGTGTTTGTGTAAAGGATGTGAACAGCAGCTCTTCGTTCTCTGAAGGAAACGCTTCAAGCAGCGTGGCGTCCATTTTGAGGGACTCTGAGCTGATGGTCTGACCTGTGATTCCATCTGCTCTGTGATTAATGCGCAGGTGCGTTTGTTTTAGAAGACGGGTTCTGGTCACACCTCTGATGATTCTTTGAGTTTCTCATCCCTGAGTCTAATTAGGGATTTCTGAAAAAAGATGGTGCACCTCAACTTTAAACGTCCCTTTCATCGTCCACCTTTACAGTTGATGTTCCATCAGCACGTCTTCCTTGGTTTTCTGACCCTCCTCCCCCCTCGCTTGAAATATTTGAACATCTGCATGTCCCTGTGGTCAAGTTAGATGGGTGCATGGTTATAATAATAGAAGAAAGTTTTTAAAAAAGCAGCAGACAATTCTTTTTCCAGTTGGCAAACGTGTATTTAATTTAATATTCAGCAATAAAAAAAGATGATTTCCTCCTTGTCATTCCTGAAATATGTTTTTAAAAAAATGCCTCACAATAAAATGATTGTCATAGACTGTAAAATAAAATGAAAATTTAATCCACCTGTTCATATAAAAAATAAATCTTTATTCGTATCATTTTTTGTTGCCATTATTTCCTGGAGAAATCTTCGATCTTTGACTCGAACAAACCCTCAGGACAAAGTCAAACCTGCTCCATTATCTGGTTTATAAATCTTAACCAAAAATAAAATTATAAGGCTGTAATACCAGACAAACACACAAAGCATCCTGTAAAATAAAAAGTTTCAATTTATTAAACAATCTCCTTTTTAACACTTGTTAGCTCGTGGACAGATTTAACTCCAAAAACTATAAATGATTAAAGTGTGCATGTTTTGTTGAAAAACATTAAATCACAATAAGTTAATCAGTAATGTCTGTTACTGCAGAGAGCGGAGGAAAAATATGTAAAAAGGACTTCAATGACTTTTACAGTTTAAAAATAATAAATGGATTTTTTTTACATTACTTTAGCTTGTTTAGTCAGAAATTTTGCTGTTGTGTTTATGCATTTACACAAACACACCACTAGATGGCGACATAGGAACAAGTCACGAGACTGAAATCTGCAACGCCTCGCCTGCAGCCGGATGTTGGCCCTGCTCTGATTAAAGAAGCTTTCCTTCATTTAATATTAATTTAATCCAAAACTCAAATTAAATCAGAGGTGATGTTCTGAAGTGTAAATTTGAATTCAAATACCCATCATAACGAGTAAATAAAACCACAACTTTGTGTTTTTTTTTTTTTTTTAATAATGCAGTATTGAAACATGTTTGTATATGCATTTGTGTTTAAATATATTTTTGGACATTTTAGCATATTTTTGGCTCAAATTAACCTCTTTCCATGAGAGGAATGTTGCTTAAAGGGAGGGGTTTGAATAAATAAAGCCCAACGTGACTTTATGGTCCATAAATCGCTTCAGGCACATTTAACAGTTTGTTTCAATAATTTATTTTAAAAAATAATAATATTTCCACTTTGAATGATCTGAAATAAAACAAATATGAGTAAAATCTATACAGAAAGGGTAATTCCATGAAAAAAAATAACACAATACACAGAATAATGAACCAAATACGCTATAACAAGGTGGGGAGCGGCTCGTGTTTATACATGCTGCAGATGAAGCGTGATCAAATCAAAGGAAGGAAAGTGGCTGACATGTGAAGACACAGCTGTTTAAAATCATAAAGTAACTTTACTTATTTGTTTGTTTATTTGTTTGCCTGGTTCTGCTGGAGGTTTTTTCCAGTTAGAAGGGAGTTTGTCCTTTCCACTGTTGCATTTGTGCTTGCTCAGGATAGACTGTGATGTAGTGAAGATTCAACACAATCTGCTGCTTCCTTAGAAAGATAACTTTACTAATTAGCCTTTTTATGTACAGGGTATGTGAATATATTTATTCAGTGCCCTGAGAAGACTTCTGTTGGGACTTGGCGCTATATAATAAACTGAAATGAATTGAATTTTTTGGAAAACAAACTGTCTCATTGCAAAAAAAATTATACAAACCCTCATTTAAAATAAAAAAAAAAAGCTAACTGAAATTCGTCATTCAATTCTATTCTAACATTCAAGTGTTGGCTTCATTTTAACACACATTTTGTGATTATGTCTAGCAGAAATATTTGGACTGTTAAGGTTCCATCTATCCATCCATCCATCCATTCATTCATCCATCCATCCATCCATCCATTTTCTTTACCTGCTTCTTTGTTTTGCAGGTCATGGGGGTCAATGGTGCACATACCCAGCAGTCACTGTGTGAGAGGCAGGGGACACCCTGGACAGGTCCAAGTCCATCACATGGACACATAGAGACAAACAACCTTCATGTTTTAAAAATTGATGACCAAATGGAGCTTTTTTCTTTTTTTACGAGCAAAGCAAACCGAGTTAACCTGTAAAACCAACAGAAACATGTCAGAGGGTATATTTGTTAGAGGGTTCACTCATTGAATGTGGTAAACATTAGAAGCATCAGTTATTGACTGACAGAGATGTGACGTTGGTGAACGATCCAACTCTTTTAAACGACTCTTTTAAATTAATGATGGGAACCCAGTCACTTATAATAACTAAGAGCCACTCATTTTTAAATGTTTTCCTCCTCATTTTTGCAGACAGAACCCCCACACCCCACAAACTTAGTTTTTTACTGAGATGAAGAACAGGAAGAAGGAACACAGCAGTTGTAGGTGGAAAAAAAACATGCTCTCAAGGAGGGGAGGGGGAGGCACTTGACATGTCGTGGTACGGCCCTTAGTCATTCACCACTATGTGCAACTTACATATGATCTACATATGAT